GCAGCCCAGCTCCAGGTCGAGCTGTTGTTCACCATCTTAGCTGTAGAGGGTGCAGCATCACTGGCCCTCATATGTGGGATCCTAACTGGGGCCCTGCTGCTCAGAGCTGGTGTCCCAAGCCAACTCCTAACCAATGTGCCACTCGGCCAGCCCTCAAGTTATTATTTTTTTTAATTAACTGAACTTTCGTCCCTACAGGAACTCATTGTCAGTTCCCCCTCTTTCCTGATTTCCAATATGATGCATTTTAATGTGTTATGAACTGCATTTACCTGCTTTCCTATTGAAGACTGCAATATTACGACACAAGCCAAACCAAATTTAATGAGAAAGACTTCATAGAACGCTATCAAACACATCACCAAACTCTGTCTAGGTGATGCATCCTGGTCTCCTTCGATATCTTAATATAATGAGTCTATAAAATGGAACAATACCTTTTATGTCACTTGATTAATGAAAACAATTTGGACTTACATGAAACCTCAAAGTGTTTTTTGAAACATTCATTTGGTGCAAAATGATGAATACTAATAATACAAGTTGACTTTTCATTTCCAAAATGAGTACATTCTCAGGGAAAATGGAGTGAGACACTTTTTTCTGGCACTCCCTAGTTATGAGGAGGGAGCTACCTAAGGATATAAGGACAGAACACTTTCAGCCACTCACCTACTTCACTTCGGCATCCTAGCACGTGAAATGAGGATACTAATAGTGGACTTGCCTACTTTGATTTTTTTCGGTAAAATAACCTAAGAGAAAGCCCTTCATAGAAATAGTTTACTATTTATGCCAAGGAAACATCTTGGCATGGTAGCCATCTTAATGAAACATGGAACAAATTGTTGCATGGATAATGATTTTAAAAGCTCTACCCCAACTTCAGGGTACTCCTTATATATGTGTGTAAACTGCCATGTCCAATAGACCCCATTCCAGCTGTCCCCAGTCTTCCCTGATCTCTCTCTCTGCCAACACTACAAGAAACCCTCTTTGCCCTATAGTCAGTTACCTACCATGTACCTACTTACTTGAGGAATCTCTGGTTTCCTTCAGTCAAATTTACCGGGGGTTTTTTTGTTTGTTTGTTTGTTTTTAATAATACCTAGCTTGTTCTTGGCACAGCAAGGACAGTTGGGTATACAGAGGTGAATCCAGTGGGGATCCTACCCTCAAGAGGCAGTTATGAAGCCCCAACATGTGTATGATATAAGAGATACAATATTTAGTGGCAGAGGAGAGGACATGTTTGCAAGGAAGAGAAAAATTACAAGTTAGAAAATTAAAGAAAGCTTAATGGAAGAAATCACAACTGAACAAAGACTTGAAAGGATAAGAAAGCTCATGGAGCCACAAGAACCCTCAGCTATCCACTTCCATCTTTCTGATAGCTGCTCTAGACGGATGGGAATTGTTGCAGTTTGAACTCAGGGAAGAGTCCCTCACGTAAAAGACCCAAGTGGCCCTGCCTTTCAATCTAATTAAAAACTGAGGCAATATTTTAGCTTCCTAGTCACCTGCTGGCTTTCTCCATCCATTTCTTCCTTTCGATGGAGAATCGGATGAATAAGTCAGGCCTTCATATGGCTACTAGCATCAATAGTCTTCTGTTCCCACGGCTTGTCAGCCAAGATGCTGTGAGCTGAGATGTGCAGTGGTAGCTGAAAGGAAACTTTCAATACCTCTAAGGAAGCATGACATCTGCCAGTAAGGCCTTGCACAGCCATGTGGACCACTGTGTGTTCCCTGATACTCTTTTTCCACTGTGTACTGTTATAGAAACCATCGTTTTGGAACTAAAAGATACAGTTCACTTGCCTATGGTTAGATCCCTCCCCAAATTTCCTTTGGTTTGGGCATCAAGTGAAAATCTTTAGGTGAGCAAATAAGATAGTGGCAAAAGCTAGACATGAAACAAGACATGGGACATTTTTGGTCACTAAACTGTGGATGGATTGATCTGGAATTCTTGCACCCATATTACTCCTTCCCCCCTTTCATAACCCCCAAATGCCTTGTGAATTTTAGAGATTTTAAACCAGCTCTTGGCCATTACTCAATTGATGCAGTGCTTGAATTGTTTAGAAAATGTTTAAATGCCATCCTTCAAAATGTAAGCCTTACTCTTTGGAACTCCACTGTAGAATAACAGAAAAACAAATCATCTTGGTAAGAAAATATCTGAGTCTTTACAGGAGAACAGAAATAAAAATGGAGGTAAGAAAGAACACTGAATCCTCAAATCATCTTTATCTTTTATCATTGGGATGGACATTGATCAATATATTCAGCTCTATTTGATGGGGTGGTTTTTTTTCTTATTCAAAGAAAATGTTCTGTCATAATATAATTCCAAATTATTTTTTGCTATCATTGTATCCCCAGAATCTAGCTTATGCATGGCACAAAGAACGCTTTCAATAAATATTTTTCAATGAAAAAGGAATGTATTTGTTCATCTCAAACGGGCAGTTTATTTAACAGTCTGGTTATTTAAATTACTAAAGCTATTTGGAGCTAGTGCAAAAATAAATAGATGTCTGGGTATATACTCAAAATAATTGAAAGCACGGTCTCAAAGAGATATTCCTACATCCAGGTTCATTTCAGCATTATCCACAATATCTAAAACATGGAAGCAACCCAAGTGTTCATGGACATATGAATGGATCAGTTTAATGTGGTATATACATGCAATGGAATATTATTCTGCCTTATAGAGGAAGGAAATTCTATAATATGCAACAACATGGATGAACCTTGAGGACATTATGCTAACTGGAATAATCCAATCACAGAGACAAACACTATATGATTCCACTTACATGAGGTACTTAGAATAAG